AATAATATCTTCAAACAAGAGTAGATTTTTTTTTTAATAGCCAGATTTTTCTTCTAATATTGGATCAGATCACTACTTCTCTGAGCACCAGATGAACGACTGGCTTGTGTTTAGCAGCCAGGTTGTATCAAAGATATGGATTTTTAATGCCAAAATCACAATAAATAAGACAAGATGATCACACTAAGAAAAGCATATGAAAACTGAGAGCAGCGGAAAGAAAAGTAGAGTTATGTCCTCAATTTCACACATACTTTGAAGAACAAAAAATTTGAAGAAAATAGTAGACAAATCCCTAGCATCATTATACTTTCTTCTTTAAAAAGGAAAATCTCTCCTCATCCCATATAGTTGAATTTTCCAATGTTAAAGGAACTTCCCAGAATAAGATAAAGGGCGAAGGTAAGAGTGGGAGTAAGAGAACCTGGGTCCCATCCTACGTTCCCTACTTGCCAGCTGATGGCCTTGTGTAGAGTGGAGAAGGGAGTCTTCATTCAACATTTGGGAAGGACACTGTGCTAGGTGTCAGAGACAAAGACAAGCGTGGAGCAGGTGTGTGTTTATAGCGGGTGGGGAAGGGGAGGTGGGGGAGAGGAGGCTCCAGATTAGACTACTGCTGTTCAGCATTTATATTCAAGGCAAGAAACTTTGTACACAAACATGCACATGGTGAATTTGTACATGTAGCATATCATGTCTGACAAAACACACCAGACCAAAATTTATTACGATTTTTGAAATAAATGCTTAGAAACAAATCATCATGATCTCTACATACATATAAAAATGAATGCTTAGAAATGAATAATTGTGACCTCTACATACATATAAAAACTGGCCAAGTGTTCAGGGCACATCATTTAATCAGTCTTTCCATAATGCTTTGCAGACCTCTTGTTGTAAATAGGCATCACTCCACAGGTCAGGAATGAAGGATTAAATTGATTTTTGGTGTGTGAATTCAGTCATGTTTCATATTATTATATTTTTTTTTTCTTGTCTCCATTTATCCAACCCCTAATACCACCTGGGGTTGTTTCTCTGGGTCACTGACAATCCCCTGCATCCCTGGAGTTCTATAGGCTGATGGAAAACCAGTCTTCAGACAAGTAATGCTTTGAGCAGGGGCTAAAAATCTGAGCGTTTGGTCATCACTTGCCCAGAAAAATGAATGGCCCCATTAGCTAATCTTAGATATGATATTATAGAGGTAAAGCTGTGTTTGGATCTCATAGTCAACACTAGATCTACTTTCATTAACATCAAATGGATGCACAAAGTCTCCAACAGCATGATTTTAGACTAGACTATTCCTTCTTGTAATCAAAAGCCTATAATTATTAGCAAGATGTGGCTGATCAGGTGATCAACTTAAAATGAGGCAAGATTCTAAAACAATACACAACTACTGAAAAGTGAGAGACATGCAAATTGAACTTTTAAAAAATGCTGCCAGTGCTTACCTAAAGGATCAAAAACTGTTGGAATCACAAAATTCCTTGACTGACAGCCATTCCAAAGGAGATTTTGAAATCATAAGCCTTTAATTTATAAGAAACATGATGTTTAAACCTTCAAGTAAATACTATTAACAAGCAATAGAGTTATTCATGCTGAAATTTGTTCTATCTTTAAATTAATCAGAATGGCAATAAACATTAATGGCTACTGCTAGGAGCGATGAGGATGCAATCAAAACCCCATGTCCAGGGTTGAAGCTTAAATCTTGGCCATGGAGATGAGATCTATAAATCCCACTTTGGAATATAACAAACATATTCCCATATCTCGACTGAATTTTTACTATTCTTATGCATGACTCCCGGGATGCATAATTTATAAATACTCTATTGCAAAGATAACTTTTAGGCTGATTGGCACTAGTGTGAAAATAATACCTAGCAAAAAAAAAAGGAAAAGAACAAGCACTTCTGATTACTATATTAGCTAAGTCTTTCATTTCAACTTTTAAATTTAATTAACATAACCTTTCTTATTCTTTTGAGAAGAAAGAAAATCCAGGAAAAAATTTGTTTCATAAGAAAACTTACAATATTATGTTTTAATTAAAATTGAGCGTCTCCCTATGAATATTAAATTTTTTAAAGCCTAGCCAGCAATAGTACATTATTAAAAGCTGCATCAGTTATGTCAAGAAATTAGTAGCTGATTTTTAAAGGTTCATCATCAAATTCTTAAATGATTGGTATCTTGAAACTCAAATAACGTTAATATTTGTCATCCAAAGCAGAAAAGCAAGCAATAAAGGCAGAAAATATTCATTAACTGCAATGAAGTTCACCGACCTCCAAGTGTTGAAAAGCTTAGATAAAACGGGTATTTCTATTTACCTGTAAACCTTAAAAAAAAAAAAAAATTCTCGAAAATTTATTACCTCACCAGAGTTAGAAAAAACAAAAAACCAAAAACTTCTCCCCATCCCCCGTTCCATTCCACAAATGCTTGTGACTCAAACTTGTGAAGTCTCTCACTGTGTTGCCCTCCAAGTTCACGCTTTAAAGGAAGCCAATTGAAATCCTTTACATAGTGAGAATTCTTTATCAGTCATTTTATCTTTTAGATAATCCTATTTTCAGGAGGTCCGGCTTTTAGTTTCTCTTTTTTCAATTGTTGTTGGGGGTGGTAGGAGGGAGTAAAAAACTACCCTGAAACTGTTGGCCCCAAATGTGAACCATACCACTAACAGGTAGCAATAGAAAACCGGGAGATTTCAAATAAAATAACAAACATGCACACTCAGACTCCCAGAGGGGACAAAACAAAACACAAACACAAAAACTTGGGGTGTTCCAGTACAACTGCAAGGGTGGGAGCGGAGGTGCGAGCTCCACACAGGAGCAGCAGCCTCCGCCCTCCCCCGCCCGCAGGTGGCTCCCCGCGAGCGCCTCCGACAACAATAGCTAGGATGAGCTTGGCCTGTGTCCTTAGTTTGCTGAGTCTGCCGGGGCCCGGAAAGATTACCCATTATCAAAGAATGACAAAATAGAGAAACGTGCGTTAAGCTCCCAAGGAAGCATCCCCTTCCCCACCATTCCTCATCTCCATCAGATTCCCCACCGCGGACCAAAGATGAACCTGCTACCAATCAAGTTCCTGCGCAAGTTATTTTATTTCCCGCAGCCCCTCCACCTGCCGGGGCGGTGCTCGGCGCACCCCAGGCTTCCCTCCGGCGACCCCCCGCGGGCTGCAGCAAAATACGGGGCGCTTCGGCAGGGCGGGGGCGGGCGGCTGCCGCGGATCCGGCCGGCTACAGCCGCAGCTTGGTGGCCTGCGATTGGCCGCGACGCGGGCGGGGAAGCTTGGCGGCGGAGGGAGGCGGGGGCGGGGGCGAGGGCGGCGGCGGCGGCAGCGGGAGGGATAGGAGAGGGGAGCGGGCGGCGCAGCCAGGCAGCGCGTGCGGCGAGCGCGGGGAGAGCGGCGGCGGCTCGCCCAGGTCGCGCAGCGGAGGCCGAGCGGGGTGCGCGGTCGGCGACGGAGGGCGGCGCGCGCGAGTGAGCGGCGCAGGGCGAGGACCAGCGGGCGGGGACCAGCGGGCGGGTGCCGGTGCGCAGGCAGTAGGGGCTGCTGCGGCAGCAGCTGCGCGGGACGGAGCCGCGGCGGGAGCGGCCGCCTCACCCCCTTGCGGCCGAGGCCGGAGAACAGTCTCCAACTCGCCAGGGGATTGGAAAGAGGAGCCGAGAAGCGGCCCTCGGCCCGCAGGCAGTGGAGGCGCGGGGCGGCGGGACTGCTGCTCTTTGTGGGTGCAGCGTTTACTGCCCGGAGCGCCCTCCCCGAGGCGCTGTCCCCGGCGTCTTCATCGCGCCGAGCGGCCCTGGAGCGGGGACCCGGAGGAAGCAAAACCGCGAGCCCGAAACCTCGCGTGGCGGAGCTCCTGGGGAGCGCCATCCGCTCCACTTCCACCTCCGCATCCTCCACCGGCCAAGGTCCCCGCCGCTGCATCCCTCCCGGCTTCCGCTGCGCTCCGGGCCGTAGCCGAGCCGCCTGCGCTGCCACAGCGGCCGCCTCCACACACACTCACAGACGCTCACACTCACACGCTTGCCTGCCCCGCTCCCCCGCCCCCTCCCCAGCTCCTTGATCTCTGGGTCTGTTTTATTACTCCTGGTGCGAGTCCCGCGGACTCCGCGGCCCGCTATTTGTCATCAGCTCGCTCTCCATTGGCGGGGAGCGGAGAGCAGCGGAGAAGGGGGTGGGGAGGGGAGGGGAGGGGAAGGGAAGGGGGTGGAAACTGCCTGGAGCCGTTTCTCGGCGCCGCTGTTGGTGCTGCCGCTGCCTCCGCCACCGCCGCCGCCGCCGCCGCCGCCTCCGGCTCCTCGCTCGGCCCCTCTCCGCCTCCATGTGCCGGATAGCGGGAGCGCCGCGGACCCTGCTGCCGCTGCTGGCGGCCCTGCTTCAGGTAAGCGGCGGTCCCCGCGGGCCGGGCCACGGGCGGGGTGGGGCGGGCGGCGCCAGGTCCCTTTGTTCCCCGCGCCGCTGCGGGGCCGGGCTGCGCACCCGGGAAGGGAGGTGCCGCGCCGCGGGGCCGGGAGCTGCGCAGGCATCAGGGTCGGGCCGGGCGCTGGGGCAGGGCTGCCGGGGCCAGCTGGTCTCTCGCGCCTCTCCTGGCGGGGCTCTAGGAGGCCGTTTGTGGGCCCCCTCTGCTCCTCCGGGGCCGAGCAAGCTTGCGGGGGGTGTCCCCAGACAGCAGAAGGGTGAGGCAGTATAACTCTCAGGTTTTTGCAGTTTTTTCTGCCTCTCGCCCCTCGTATGGTACTTTGCTCCAATTTTTTTTTTTTTTTTCCTGCAGGGGTGGGTCGCGAGTTTACAGTAGGAATTCTCACTTTGGTGTCTTAGTTACGAGACTTGCCTCCACCTTACCCCACCCTGGCACCCATGCGCTTCCCGGTGCCTTAGGGCTCCACTCTCCTATTGTCTTTATCCCAGTCCGGAGTTGCCTCCTTTTCTTCTCTTGCCCTCACAATATTCTGTGTCCGTCCTACCTGGAAAGAAAACCTGGCCGCCTTGCCCCGAGGAGTCTCTGTCGACCCTCATCTGCCTCCAGACTTAGTCTGGCCTCTCAACGCCCAGTATCCCCCGAGGCGAGAAGTTCCGTTACGCGGCTGCTCCTCTCCCTCTGTCCGGCTGCCTTTGCCCTGCCTGCGCCCCGGGGGCGCCTTCGCCTGGAGCTTTCCGTACTTTTCACACCCTCGGGAGAGCGCCCGCGAGCCTTTTCATTTAATCTCTACTAAGAGGCTCCTCCTCGGCAGGAAGCACCTGCTCCAGTCCCGGTGCAGGTTCCCTCTCCTCGTTGGGCTGCGCGCTGCGGGTTCCCAGCCCGGCGCAGCCCAACTTTCCACCGCCTCCAGCCCCAGGGTGCCCCCAGGCTCCTTCCGACCAGCCAACCGGGGCCCGGAGCCCACTTCGCACAGCCTCGGCCGGGACCCTCTAGCTGGGCGGGTGCTGTGCCCTGGTCCCAAGTCGGTCTCCGCCTGCCCTGGGGTCCCTCGGAGGCTGCGGGAAAGGGGCGTGCTCGCCCTCGCCTCTTGGCAGGAAAATCCGCGGAGGGGGCCCCCTGCAAATAGCTCTCGGGTTAGGGGGAGGGTTGCTCTACTGCCAGCTGGCAGCCCCGAAAAGTGCAGACGCAGCTCGGAAGTGCCTCCTTTTCTTTTCTTGCCCTCACAATATTCTGCTCCGGGGGTGGGGATAGGTGGTGTGGATCGCCCCGCTCCGTAGTCTTCGCGGGTCAGGATCTGGCGCGCTCCGGCCGGCGGGGCGGTTGAGGGGGTGCGGCAGGGTCGGGACGGGGCTGGCGCCTGCAGTCTTTCCAGCTTTCTCCCGAAACCCCCTAGACGGGTGTGTGCCGCCCAGCTCGGAGCCCTGTCCATGGTGCGCCATGGTGCGGCATGCCTGGCCCTCCCGGCTCCACGCTCTCCTCCCGGGGGTCGTGCTCTCTCACTTTCTGGTTCTCCCCACCCCTGCCTCGCAGGCCGCCCGGGTCCCGGCGTTCCTTTCCTCTTTCTTAGATCTCTTCTTTTGTTCTTTAGTCTCCTACCGGTTTTCTCCCCTTCCCCCACTCGCCATCCCCCACTCGGCTCTTTCCTGACTCGGGGATTTCAGAACTATTAGACTAGACATTTTTGGCCTTTGCAGTTTTGGATGGAATTCCTTCTAACTTGGGGGAGGAGACCTGCCAGTCACTTGCTAACAAAAGTACCTCCTGTTATAAAACCGCCCTTTATTCTCCCAACGCACACTCCTCATTCTTTCACCTCCTGTCACTTCATTTATTGTTTCTTCTTTAAAAATGGGGTTTATTAAAGAGCTTAGGCTGCAGGAAGAATAATTAAAAAAAGTCCTGCTTCTAAAATGTTTGAAGTTAAGAGGAAGGCAAGACAGACTTAAGACTCCTGTGTACATTAGGCTTTTTTTTTTTTTTTTAAACGACGTAGATACACATTTTTAAAAAAGTCTTTAAAAGCGTTAATTTTTGGACGGCATTGGATCGTCTTATTTACAGAAAGTAAATCCTCAGAGTGTGAATCCAGCAGCAGATGGTTTTCACAAACTTTTTCATCTAAAAGTGAATTTTAATTGAGTACTGTGCAGTGAAGTTAGGACACGAAGAGACATTTGTTGGTCGCGAATGCTGTGGGAAATCTGTGTGTGTTACAAGTGGAGCACTCTCATTTTCTGTTTTAGTCATCTGCCTTGAAGTCAGGTGTGAATTTTCTGTCATTTTTTTTCTTAGGCATTTCTAAAAATATCGTTTATAAGCATTAAATAATGTGCTTTTCTTTTCCATTGTATGTTCTTTCTCCGTTTCTTCTATACCAATGTTGTTGACTTTTTAAACCTTCAGAAAAGGAGAAATTTTAACTTTGTCATCAAGTTATTTGGCAGTCCTCTAATTCATGAGTACAAGTCAAGCAGTAACATTGAGTGATTTGAAAGGTCATTAGGAGTGGAAGCAGAGCAGTTTATGCAACGTGAGTTTTAGGGTTAAGTGCACCATGTGGATTGTACAACTGAGATTAGAAATGACTTTGTACTAATGGTCTGCTTTACACGCCAGAACAACAAAGCTCTATCTGCAAGGTGAAAGTGGCCGCTCTGCAGTCAGCTGCTATTCAGTCTAGGGCTTTTTTTTTTTTCCCCAGACTGAGCAGCCCGTAGTTTTAGAAAAGAGAATGTGTAGGTTATTAGTACAGATACAGAGCATCCTTTTTTTGTATGAACTAAATATAATTGAATATTCAAAGGACTCTGCCTTTGTTACCTGAAGTGTCTGTGTTCCTTATTTTACTTTGAGAAATTCTTTACTAGGTTAGTTATTGTTACTTAGATTTACATAATTCTAGTCAATTTTGCATATTATGTTCAACATCAAGATTTTCTTTAGTCTTTCTCATTTTAAGATATTAGCATTTTTTACATTTAAAAATCCGAACTTGAGCATTCAGCTTACCTGATAAAAGATAAAATATTCTGTCACAAACTTATGAACAGCTTTTCTTTTAAAAAATACAAGTGACTTTCAAATCCTTATATAGGTTTATTGTTAAGAAGAAAAAAATCAATGTTGCTTTTACCATTGACCTAGTTAATTAATATGTTAGAAACCAGTGTTTTTCTAGTCCACATCTTAATTGCATAACCCCATTGTTCTAATTTAAATACATTTGTATGGGTTATGGGGCATCTAGGACAGTATTTTAATGTTCATGGAAATTCAGAGCTCTTAGACTTAACACATAGGTCCTGGTTTCAACCCTGCATGAAAACCTTGGGAAAAAAGATGCATAAACCTTACGTGTTTTTCACCTATTAGGTACAGATTTTAAAGAGGTTAGTATTCAACATATGAAACATACATAAAAAGAAGGAGCTTTTTCTAGAATGTGGCAAGGATTCAGCAATCATCTTAAGTGTAAAGCATGTGTTTTTTCTCAGTGTTTATTTCATTTTCACGTGCCTTTGAAACATAAGTTCTTGTGAAAAGAAGAATTAAGTTAGTTGGTGTTCACGGTTTGTTTTACTTACTAGACACAGTTATGTATATTTCTGTGCTTTTCTTAACTTGAGGCATGCAGTCATTACTAATAGGTGGTAAGTTACAAACATGCTAGGTATAATTTGAATAACAATATTTTGTATATCCTCACATTTTTAAAAGACTATTAAGCCTTAGGTACTTTCTGACTTTTATACCTTCATCAAAGTCTGCCTTAACCTTCTAAAAGTTCACACTGAGATTTTACGAGGATTTCCTTTTTAGATATTGCTTTTTACATGTAGAGACTAAAGTCTTTCTGGAGCAGATTATTTTTATGATAGTATTTGGCACCAAACTGTCCTTAATTTTCTTTTTCATTAAAAAAATTTCAATTCTTAACTCTGTTGTGCCTCATTAATCTTTAGGGTTATTAGTAGGGAAATGTCAAGACTTAAAGCAACAGTTAATCTTGCTTTAAATCCAATTTTTTTTTTAATCCTAAGTGATTAAAATCCCCATCTTTTTTTCAAGGGGATATTATGAAGTTAGAAGAGTGATTTTTAAATAAAAATCAGAACTTTTCTTTAAGAATTGTATTATTTGTATCTACACTATCATTTTTCCCAGGTTAACATTCAGATTTGTTCCTTTGGCTCAAATACAAAGAGTAATCAAGTTTAAGCGCTGCTTAGATTTGGTGGTGGATTTTGTCAGCCATTTAAAAACATGATAAGATTTTAAAATTTGGACTTTGTCATCTGAATAAGTATGTCACTTCTGACATCAGTACACCTTCTGGAAGCTAAGTATTTTCAACTTGGGTTAAGAGTTTTAAGTTGAAACATAACTGGTAACAACAAATCTCTATGTTTCACATTTCTATTTTTTTCCTCAAATTTTATTTTTAACTTTTCAGAAAAAAAAATCAGTTAATTTGAGCAGATGCTGGTCTTTGTATTTAACTAAATACATGTAAGTTTTAATTAAACAACCCTATCCATGCCAAGGAAGAGGTATATACAGATTAATATTTTAGTAAGAGCTATATCTTCTGCATGTATGAAGTGATGGGTCTGAAGTAGGCAGAACAATTCGCAAGCTAAATGGAACTTTTTGAAAGATATAGATTTAAAGATTGTGATTTATTTTATGATAGAGTCTCTTTAAGGAAAATTTAGGTTAAATCCTGTTTAGATTTTTATTTTTTGTTACTCCTTGGTCCTCAGTGCACTTCCTTGTCTGTGCTTCCAACTATACTTACAGCATCCTTGGATTGCATGCATATACACAGACACACAAACACCCCCCACATGTATGATTGGGTCTGTTATATATGTATGAGTGTCCTGCAATACTGCGTACAGTCTAACATGAAGTGTCAATCAGTAGTTGATTGATTACTTACGTCATGAAAGGTGGTTTAGGTACCCAACAGTATAATAACTGATCTGTGCAAGTGAGATGTCCTTGTGTAGTGTCAAGGGCAAGAGCTAGTGTCAAGAGCAGGAAGCATGGGATTCTAATGTTGTCCAGATGTAGCCTACTCTGTTAAACTCTCCTGACTTCATTTTCCTCAACAGTAAAATGTTGGGCTGGTTGGATTAGTTGATCTTTTTTTTTTTTTTGAGACAGAGTTTCGCTCTTCTTACCCAGGCTGGAGTGCAATGGCGCGATCTCGGCTCACCGCAACCTCCGCCTCCTGAGTTCAAGCAGTTCTCCTGCCTCAGCCTCCTGAGTAGCTGGGACTACAGGCATGCACCACCATGCCCAGCTAATTTTTGTATTTTTAGTAGAGACGGGGTTTCACCATGTTGACCAGGATGGTCTCGATCTCTTGACCTCATGATCCACCCGTCTCGGCCTCCCAAAGTGCTGGGATTATAGGCGTGAGCCACTGTGCCCGGCCGGATTAGTTGATCTTTAAGAGTCTGTCCAGTTGCATGATTTTTGGAGTTACTTAAAAAATATCTCAAATACAGCTCCTTTTCAAAGGTTGTAGAAAGGCTTTTTTTCAGCCTAAAGTGTAAGAATTTTCAGATACTTGGAGTGATAGAATGTGAGTTGTGAAGATCTATTAACTGTAGTTTATCATAAGTGATAGTTAAACGTTTAAAGTTATCTGTATTTTTATATGCCTAAACTTTATTTTTTTTATTGGCTGTGCTGCCTTTGCCAGTAAAAGTAAACATTTTTGGGGAGCGGTTTAGGATTAAAGGAAGGTAAGTGTAATATCACTGAGAATAAAACATTTATTAGTTTTGTGTGCTCATGTTTCTTTGAGAAAAGTCAGCCTTCAGGAGAGCCACTGAATTGAGTGATGGGCTCAACATTAAACATATAAGTGGATTAGTATTAAAAATATGCTCTTTGTCAAGTTCTCCTCTAGCTTTTTTTGTACAGGTATTTATCATAAACACATGATATAGATACATATATGAGGATATTAGTTGACGCATTGCTTATGATTACAAAGATTCGATTATTTGATCTCTAAAAGTCCAGGAGTAAGAAATGATTTAATAAATTATGGTATAATGTGAAGCAGATTTAATAACACCTGCTGTGGGGAACAAAACATTTTCTACTAGGTCAGGTTCAGGAAAGTGATTGTTAAGCCACCTCATGTTTTGGTAATAGTCATGCACCTAAAAGAGCTACAGAGGGCCAGGCGCGGTGGCTGACGCCTGTAATCCCAGTATTTTGGGAGGCCGTGATGGGCGAATCACAAGGTCAGGCGATCGAGACCATCTTAATATGGGGAAACCCCGTCTCTACTGAAAATACAAAAAATTAGCCATGTGGTGGCATGAGCCTGTAGTCCCAGCTACTCGGGAGGCTGAGGCTGGAGAATAGATTGAATCCAAGAGGCGGAGGTTGCAGTGAGCCGAGATTGCAGCACTGCTGCACTCCAGCTTGGGCGACAGCAAGACTCTGTCTCAAAAAAAAAGACAGCTACAGATAAATAAGGACAACCAAAATAAACGGTATTT